CACTGCTGCTGATTGTTATGCACTTCTTTTATGGCATGAAATTTTGCGAAGAATTATTTGTTTCTGTAGCAAATTTTTGGCACTCTCTTGATCGGAACCTGATAATAGCCGAAACCAAAACAGGTCTATGCAAAGCTGAGGGTGACTGTGCCTTTCGAGAGCTGTTTAGAAGCAAGCTGACAGCACTTTTGACTCTTTGACATACATGAGTACCGCCACATAAACGAATGAACAAGTCCTAAAAGCATCGATTTTTTCCTTGACGAAGTAGAAATGCTCGAAATTTCCTCATAGGCGGATCCAGGACGCACTCCTGGGGGAGAGAGAAGGGAAAAAGGAGTGGGGAACAGCCCCCTCTCACCTTGGAACTATGCAAAAACTAGGAATAGAATTTGTAACACTGCTACTTAGGTTTACTTTAGTTTTATTTATGAACAGACCCAAGCTTTTGCAGCCTGTGCCGCTAGGGAAGGGGAGAGGGGATGGGCGAAAGACCCCTAAACCCTCCTAGATCCGCCTATGACCTTTCCAGCGGGCATTTGTTGTTGACAATTGCTTCCTTACTCGGGGCAACTTCTGAGAGAATTTGTCTTTCACGTAGGAGACGGGTTGACTTTTTTGCATTTTTAGTTTAGGGTAAACTAAGATAGGAATTTTGACCTGCTGTTCAATGCTAAGAAATAGGATGAGTATTAAATATTTACTTTGATCTCTTGTAAATAACCCGAGATTGGTTTTTATGATTTTTTAATTAACTTATTGCTTATTTAGAGGTTGAGTGTTATCGAATTGGAAAAGGCTGTTATACGCTGGTTGATGATCTGCTTTTTGACGATTCAGAAGATGCTGGTTACTCGCTAAATTTCTATGTAAGTGTTTTTTTTTTCTGGCTTTTTTACATGCTCAGTCATGTTTTATGATCTTAAAAGTCAAAACTTCCCCTCCCTCCCTCCCCTGTAATTTTACTCTACGCATTTGAATCAGCTCGAGTGAGAGCAGTTTGTTATCCGATAGCATAAGTATTGACAGTTTCGTTTTTTCGTGGATTTTTTGAAAATTTGGAACGATTTGGAACCTATTTGGAACGATCACTTCTTGATCGGGCCTCCATGGCCCCTTCTTCCCTTTCAATTTCTAAAATATTAAACTTCCCTATCCGTTGGGATCAACTAGTTTTTTAGGGACGGATTCACAGGAATGGCTTAGCCCTGAGAGAAGGGACCACTTATTTTTTGCGGC